CTTATCTCTCTCTCTCTCTCTCTCTCTCTCTCTCTCTCTCTCTCTCTCGTATACAAACGAATTCTTCGTATCTCACGATACGAAGTTCCTTTTCCCCCGAGAAATCATTCTTCCGTCCCATAAGCGTAATAATATAGTTAAATCGGTGAGGAAAAAAAAAAAAATTCAAAAAATTCGAAAACCTCGACATCAAGCCTCGATATTCGTCCTCGAGGATACGAAGGGACGGAGGGAAATGGAAGGTGGGGAGGGAAATTTCGGGGCAGAGACGTGTAACGGCGAATCCGCTTTTCTGGCAGCGTCGCTGACGACTCTGGTAACCGGGTCCGGGAAACGGTCGTAAAATAAAGGGGAGAGGGCCCGATAAAAGTCGTTCCCTTTCGAGCCCTCACGCTCCTGCTAGGGAACGGGTTCCCTTCGAGCCAAGCCGTCACTGGCCCGACGTAATCTGTCCGTTCGTTCACGGCGACTCACAATGTGGCCCCCGAGATAACAAATAAAGCCCCATTGTCGCAATTGTGTGGATTTAAAAGGATTTGCGCGGCTCCTCTGCCGGCCCCTAGCCTCCCTCCCCCCTCGCCCGCCCGTTGGCTGTGCCGCTGCCACTGCTGCTCCCTGTCCTGCCGACTCCCTCCTCCTCGACCCTCTTTTCCTCCTCCCGTGAATTTCCTACCGGCGTATATCCCATTCCCGAGGAAGCCAGAGGAAAACTAGAGAGGGAAGGAAAATGCCAGTGCATCCAAGGGTGACGCCAACATTCGGAATCAATCTGGTGCGTAAGATGTAAGGTGAGGCGAGGCAAAAAGGTGGTTTGGGAGAAGGTGGTTTCAATCAAAGTTTATTATTATAAAATTAATCGACTTTATCGAGATTGTGTTATTGTTGAAGAAAATTTGATTCAACTTTTCGTTTAAAATTTCAACGCGCACCACGCTTACGAAAATTCTGGTATTGCGTTCTAAAAACTCGCGTTCCGCTCAACGATAACGAATCCAATTAAGAATCAACAAGACGAAATACGCGATATTTCGATACCCAATCTCCCAATACCGTTAACGAAATCACCTCCTTGACGAAAATTTTTTAAATACGCAACACAACACACACGCGCACAGAATCTTGCAATTATTCGTTGTAAAAACACTGCACACAATGGCGAACAATGATCGATCAGATGGTTATTAACGAATATTCGGTTACGCGGATCGGGAAGACCGACATCGAGAAAGCGTCGTCGTTCGCGGAGCACAATCACATTTATGACGAATCGTTTACATTAACGACATTCTCGCGTACCCGCCGGCAGACAATCGTGACTAATTGTTATTGTTTCTTGTTTGCGGCCGCGTGCTCGACTACCGCGCGGCTTATGTTCACCGATATGATATAACGCGTTGTTTATCGCGCCGTTGGAAGTGGTATGGCGCTGGTGAAACGCGTTTCTACCAAAACGCGTCCCGTGTTCGTGTGCACGGCCGCCGCGATTGTGGTGGTGGAGGGCTCCCAGCGAATTGTAAAGATTACGCCCGATGTTTATGCATTTATGCTGAATTATTGTCGGCGGGGCTTTACCGATGTTTATGCTGATTTACGCTTTGTGCTATCTGCCGGGACACATTGTCCCGGAATTATTATTCCGCTGCGTCACTCTCGCCGCGAGCAACCGAAATTTTGGATTTCGTTCGAGCTGGAAAATTCTCCCTCCCTCCTCTCCTTCCCTTTCCCCCCCCCCCCTCGAGTTTTCGAATCGACGATTTTCTCCGCCAAATTTTTACCGTTGCCGTTTCTTTTATCCGAGAATGCACGTCGTCTCGAAAGATGGAATAAGATGACGATGGTTTCCTTTTTTCTTTCTTTTTTTGTAGCTTATTGCACACTTTATCGTAGCATTGTAGCATGCGGAATTTTTTGGTATTTTTATATTTATTTTGACATGTTTGGTAGAAGCATATAATTAAATATCCAATGAATTACTCGTTACAAATTTTACAATTGAAATAATTCTATTTTCATTTTGTACGTGCGAATTTCTTATTCGAAAAATCATTCCTCGAAAATTTTGACGATGTAAGCAATGAGCGAGAAGATATAAAGATAATAATAAAGTTCTGTAGCAAAAGAGAAAGTAGTATTCACGCATACTTCGTTCGAAACATCGAATGCATCTAAATCTAATACTTTCGCATTAATTCAACACCGATACCCCCGATCTCGTGAAATAACACTTCAACCCCATAATCGGTTAACGAGCATCGTGTGCTACACCCTCGCCACGCTACCGAAACCGACTATTATTAATCGAGGAGGCGAATAGAAATCGAAGGGAAAATATAATCCCTCTCGACGAGACAACGAGACTAAGTAATTCGAGCATTGTGCGTGGCATCCCGGTCGCGAAACGCCCGCCCACCTCTACACAAAAAAGTTGGTTTCCCGCCCGTGAAACACCTATCTCGCCCGCTTTTCTTTTATCTCCACGAGGCGAAGCATAAATAAGGACTGCGTTTGTGCGCCTCTTGGGTACATAATGGAGTATTATGCGACCAAGATACCGACGAGATACTCTGACTCTCTCCTCCCTTCCCCTCTCTCGAGTCCTCCCCGCCTCTCCCCCCCTCGACACAAAACGCGTCGACCGCGCCTCGAGACGGTGTGTGTGTGTGTGTGTGTGTGTACAAGATATTTTACCACAAATATACCCATGGTGCCCCGTATCGTGTATCCTGATGTGCCACGATAATACGTCCCTTTGTGTGCCGGATAACGGTGTCGAGAGCAAAGTTTACCGAATTCTCCACTGTCTCGTCTCGTCTCGCGCGATTCTTCGCGCGATAACGAGACACCGTTGGATTATCGAAGGTAGATAGGGCGCGGGTAGATCATTGTCTATGTATGTCCAAAGATATACTTTTTCGCTCCTCCAGCATGGAAGAAAATTTATTTTTTGATCGAGTGGGTGATTCGTTCGTTCAAATTCTTCAGGGAGTTTCAGGATCGTTTAAGTATGTGCGCGTAATCGAATGAAAATCGAGAGAATTCTTCTTCCACGACTCTTGCATTTTCGTTCCCATCCAACGTGTGGCGGAGATCACGATCCCCTCGGAAAACTACTGTCGCATGCCAAAATTATTCGATTAGGCCACCCCTGAATCGCTCGAAGACAAATCAAGAAGACCCTTCTGAACGCTGCAAGAACCAGATTTAGATAGATTTACAGCGACTACTGGAATATCGAAAATTTCGCTCAAGAAAGATTGATTCAATCCTAATATCGAATATTTCGTGTTAATCTGTCGATTCGAATAAAAAAAAAAATAAATATTCTCGTTTCAGAGCCCTCCACATGAAGGAGCATCCAGATTACAAGTACAGGCCCCGCAGGAAGCCGAAATCCTTGGTGAAGAAGGAGAACAAATTCGGCTTCTCGATATCACCGTTGATGTCCTCGGGTGAATCCCTGGGCAACATATCGAGAAGCCTCCTGCCACCTTTGGCGCCCCCGTCGCACCACACGTTGATGAGCCACGAGGATCTCAAGATTCCCCGTTTCTTCCCGCCATTTCCGTATCCTCTCTACCCCATTCAACACAAATTGGGAGAAGAATTCAACGGCGGGAAACTGGCCGCTGATCTCGCCCTCCAAGCTCTCTACGGAGGTGGCACCTTCTACTCCAGCCACCAGGCCATGTCCTGGCCCGGTTTATCGACGGCGACCTGTCTCCAGCCCAACTGCGGATGCCCGAGTCCGCCCAAAGAGCCGAAGAGGCCTTACCTGCCCGCCAAATTGGACGAAAGGCCGTTCCCAAGCCCTGGCAAACCGGAAGACGATGCTTTTCCCTCGGATTCGAGCAGGGAAGAGGCGCGATACAGAAAATTGGAAGAGGACGGTTTCTCGTCGTCGGTGGACAGGCATCAGGAGGACAGATCGCAGGATCGATTCTCCTCGTCCTCTTCCTCCTCCCTCGCCGATCAAAACGAGAAGATAGGTAACACCGCGCCTACGACTACCGCGTCGACGACCACGACGACCACGACGACGAAGGTGGAGAGCGCGTTCTCGGTCCAAAATTTAACGTCGTCCAGCACGAACTTGGGCAGCCAGCATCGTGGCCACGTCATATGAAGACCGCTTCCGGTTCTCCCGGACTTAAACTTCCGGGGGAACCTGGTACCACCTGGATGGCCCAGCACCGACTGGTGGAGGGTGCCGCCGATGCTCTCGCCCATCCCCCAGGCGACCGTCACCAACTTGAACGCGCCGGCCAAAGAGGACGAGGTCCAGTTCCAGCAGGAAGAACAGCAGAGGAATTCCTTGTCCTTGGCCAGATCGAGGAGCATCCATATCGGGAATGTACAGTGATCGTCGAATGTCGGAAGGAAATTTGAATTACGACTCGTGAAGGGATGCTGGGCGGACATTCGTGTACATAACGCGAGATTCAATCGTGGATAATGATCGTGGATGAAGTGACTCTCGCATGAGTTTACAAGTTTTCAGAATCCGGGGAAACTAGAGAACAATCGTCGATCGTTTCGTAACCTGTTGCGTTGTGTGATAATTCGAGCAGCCTACTTAGCGCGTCCCGTTTTTTACGATTGTACATAAATAACAAGGAGGAGGAGGAGGAGGAGGAGGAGGAGGAATCGCAAGTGTCGAGTGAACTCGACAAGCTTCGGTCCTGGTGAGCCTTCTTCCATCGGAAGTCGAGCGTGCGTCCTGATCGAACGCCCTTTCCAGCTTTCTTCTTCGCGGTGGAATTCCAAAAAAAAAATGGTGTCGAACGAAAAGAAAAATTCGTTTCGGAAGGAAAATTCGCGAAACACGTATCCGGCGGTGGATACCGCAAAGCCGAATCGATAACTCGCCACGGCCGGAATCCTACAAAGAGAGAGAAAAAGAGAGAGAGAATGAGCGAGCGGCGAAAGGGTCTTTTCCGGCAAAGCGTGTACAGGGATGCAAGAGAAGAGTCCAATTTTGATGAGATAACCAACCCTCTCCGTGGCACATATTACCGCGCACGCGAGCCAAAGCGAGCCACAGGGAGGACAGAAAAGAGCCCCGTACGAGAGGTAGGAGACAGAGAGAGAGAGAGAGGAGGAAGAAAAAGAAAAGAAAAAAATAAACCCCTCTTCGAGTGGAGGCAAATCTCTTCTTTGGGGCGCGGCCATGCGAAATAAGCCAACCGTTTCTGAATGCTAACGTAGATGCGGGCCTGTATACGCGTTATACCACCCCCTCGCGAGATGATTTTATTGCGTCGCGCATCGATACTGCAACTCTCTCCACGATATTTCAAAACGTTCTTTCTTTTCTTTTTTTTATTTTTTTTTTTTTTTTTTTTTTTTATAGATTTCCCTTTGTCGCTTGCTTTTCGTTACATACACACTTGTGTGCTTGTTACATCGCGTTGTAATTGGTGGATCGTGGACGCGCGACGATTGTGAGGAGAGAGAGAGAGAGAGAGAGAGCGAATACGATGAATCATCATCGTGTTCGATTATTTTTTTCGTGCTTTCGCGAAGAAATCTTGTGATATCCGTGATAAAAGTTTTTTCCTGCGTTGTTCATGGTTTTGTTGTTGTTGTTGTTTTGTTTTCTTTTTTTTTCCCCCTTCCTTTTTTCGTTGAAGGAAATTAATACGGTGGAACTCTTTTTGGAATGAAATTTTTTTAATAATTCGTAAAATTATTACGAATTCTAATTGAGATTGTATTATTTGGAATAATAGAATCAATTGAATATTTTATATTTTGCATTTTCGTTCGCGAAACGATTACTTGATTGAGAATTCCTCTTCAACTGAGTTATAATCTGAGCAATTGGTGGGAAGAATTCTTGTTCGAATGGATTCGTTTCGAAAAGAGTTCTATCTATACAAGAAATTTGTATATAATATTTTATCAAACGGTAAAGGTAAAATTGATTTCGATCGGGGCATTCTAACTCTTAAAAGTTATCGAGTTCGAGACAAAATTTCACGATAATCTTTAAGTGTGCACTCTCTTTGAAATCTAGTTTAAAAAAAAAAAAAATATTATCGATTTAACTTGTCGTATCTCTCTCATAATCACCTTATACGGAAAAAAAAAAAAAAAAATCACGCGGCAGAATGAAAAATAGAATGCAAGATTTTTTTTTTTTTCTGGAATAGTAGAGAAATATGCGAATCTGTAATTTGTTACTGTGAAGCTTTAAACGATTGGCCGGTAATAATAAAACGTTCAATTCGAGCAAATTGTTTGCAGACGCGCCATTCTGTCCACGGATTGTTGAATTCGTTCGCACTCTCCCCTCCCCTCCCCTCCTCACCCTCTTCGTTCCTCGCAGTTTTATTGCAGCTGATTTTTCGCAATCGACGCGCAACCGTATATTCGAAATTTTATACACTTGTTTTGCCGCGCGAGGCACGTATTTTTCGTGGGCAAAATTTTTCGATATCAACCGGCGACGATCGAGCCTCACTACCGATCAGAATGGAAACTAATTCTCCCTCCCTGGCATACTTTTCACCTCCCGTATCTAGAAATTGTATACAGTTTAAAAATAAAAAAAAAAAAAAAGAAAAAAAATATCGTAACGATTGTAGAACGAATGGACGATGAAAAAAAAATAACAAAAAAAAAAAAAAAAAAGAAAATATAATGTAAAGCGTATCTGTAAACGGATATATAGAAAAACGTATCTTCTTCGATATTACACGTACTGTTCCTCGGCTACCACACGTTTTATTTCTACCAAACGTTGCAAACGAGAGAGAAAGGAAACGGAGTGTAGCGATTCGTGTAGCTCGACTCGAGTTTTCCATTAATCATGTCGCTGAAATTACGACGACGTAATCATCATTGTTAATTATTTGCTGTAACATAACGCGTTTGTAAATAAATTGAATCTTAATCGAAGCTCGTTGTTTCATTTGTGTAACGGTGTGTAAAATGTTTTTCCAGCATCGAAATTTCAAATTTTTTTTAAAAAATATTTCGCAAACGATACGAATTTCTCGTTTCTTCTGTATCTTTTTTTATTATTAATAATCATCTCCACGATCCCCATATTCTCCATCTTCTTCAACCAGGATCGTTTAATTTTATCACAAGTGAGAAATTTGTTCCATCCTCCAAGTTACTTTATATATACGTATATATATATATACTCTCTTTACTTTATTTATTTACAATTAGAATGGCGATCCTCGCCCAACACAGACCATTCGTACGTGAGCTGGTCCTTGACACAGAAGCACGGGATCGATCAGAAGAAACCCATCTCTCCACCACGTATCTCCTCCACGTATTCGTACAACTAATCGGAGGTTACACGAAGGAGAAGGAATCGGTAGGGGAAAATCTGAGAAGGAGTAACCTCCACGCCTCCCCTTCGACCCTCGACCCACCCCTCCGTTGCGTCGTGTTTTATTTCTGATAGCGACGCCTCCACCGTCGCCGCGAGGACATTATCGCCACCGCGAAGGACCCTTTCTTCCCCCATAAAGGCAATCACGCTTTCTTCGTGGCAAGATAACAGGAGAATGGAGAGCCAGAGAACGTTCTCTGTTCGCGCCGGCGAATCCCACCACTGTTCCATAATTCTTCGCTTGCCCCCGGAGAAAGAGGAAAAACGATCCCTTTTTCCACTTTTCACCTCGTTCCTTACTTTTGAATAGAATTTTATCCAACCAGTATTGTTTCTATTCGTTTATAATTAAGTGTTATAACTAAGTTTTACGATATATCGTAAAATATTAACAATTACTGTAAAAATATAAAGGAGCTCATTTTACATTCTTTTTCTTTTTTCATACAATTGTTGCATTACACTTGAGCAAATTTTATAATTTCACGCTGCTCGAATTTACATTTACATCATAAAGTGTAACACGAATCAAAGAAGAAGTTCGCGTATAAAATTTTCATAAATTATTCTTTCCTTTACGATCCTTGAAGGGGGGTGCAATAATAGGAAAAATACAAAGAGGAGAATAATTTCTGGCGAAATCGTCGACTGTTAAAGTCCGAAGAAGAGCACGGGGAACGACCGGAAGCCTCGAAGAACCGACGTAGATTCGAAATGCGCGGTGGGTGTTCCGATTCGAAAGTGATTACATTTGACTTGGATTCGTGCCTCCTTACGGCAAAGGCAGCCTCTGCCTGTACAGAGCCTCGGCAACGAGGACATTCTTCCCCGACAATACCTCCCACAATCGAGCGAGCAGCACTTCCGCGCATACTAATGGAGAGGCGCCTAGACTCCTTTGGCCAGCCAGTAGTCGACGCCCCAATCCACCCTCTTCCACCCTTTGCACGACACCGTGGAAAACTTCTACTCTGGCACACTGGAAGACGACCATCCCCAGCCTCTACAAGAGAAACACTAAGAAGCGATAGATTTTTCTTGTGGAAGTCGGAACTCTACGTTCTTCCTTCCGGTATAGGAACAGTGCGGAATGAATTTGGAGTAGTGCTCGTAGACGATAGATAGTTTTAGAAAAATTGTGTAATTAGCTTTAGTTCAATTTTTTAAAAATTTTTGTTCACTCGTCGGATTAGAAAGTTTACCAGTCTTCCTAAAAAAAACGCGTATCGTTTCAATTCGATCGAAAGACTCAGGAAAGAAATTATATTGAAACGTTTACTTTCCAACCTTACATATATATATATACTTTCTTATTACTCGTCGAAACAAACTCTAGAAGAAAAATTGAAGAATAACTCTCTTTAATAATAATTCGAAAACTTTCCTTATTATATAAGAATCAGGTACACGATACAATAAAAAAAAAAACTTACACCAGAAAATAGTGAAGAAATTTCTAAAAATTCCTACCTCCACGCGTTGTAGTAAAAAAATTTTTTTCCCCCCCCAAGGAATTCTTCTTACTCTTTCGTTCGATCCGCGAAAGGGAACGAGGAGGACGGGCAAAGAAGACACAACGTCGATAGACTTTTAATTGCGTCGGTGCGCAATTATATAAGCGCTTTTGTAGGAGAGGCGCGCGAGAGGGTGCACGGGCGCATCGCACGAATCGTTTGATTGCGGAAAATGACGGGCGGCGATGGCGCGAGTGGAAGTTTTGAGTGGGCGTCGGTCCCGGCAGACAATGAGGCATTCAGGGATGGCATTGTCGAACCGACAACTGCGTTACCGTAGACAAACCCGAAATCACCGGCGCTATCGCCGTACCAGATCCGATTATGCGAATAATAAAATGCAATGAAACAGAGGGTGAGAGAGAAAGAGAGAGAGAGAGAGAGAGAGAGAGAGAAGGATGCAACGTGGAAGAGGGTGAGAAGTTTGTTAATAGCGCCAGTGTCTTTTTCTTCGTCCCCTTTTTCCTATCTCTCTCTCTCTCTCTCTCTTTCCC